AAAATAAAATTACAAGACAAGTTCTCAAAATGACTGGCTAACTGTATGCCAGAAAACACTCTTCTAGAAAACAACTCCATCCTTAGATTTTCCTTTGTATTACACTCTGATTGACTTAATAGTAATTTTCTTTTCATGTGTTTTCAAAGGCTAAAAAGTAATTATTTACTAGCTGATCCACTGGAAAAAAATCTCAGGAGGCAAACTCAGAGTTGGGTTTTTTTAAATTAGCTGATTACATATTCTTTAGGCTGTTGAAAAGGGTTGGGAGATGGCGTTTCATCTTCCAAATAAAAATGGCTTCCTTGTTTCATTGCATTTGAAAACAACAAATCATCCACAAAAATGATCTTTAATAATCATCCTAAGTGTGGCACCATTCTCAAGGTGTCATGTGCCACATGCCAAATGAAAATATTGACTTGGTCTGCTGCACTACTCCTCTCAAGTTTTTCTTTGAAGTCACACATTCCCCCCTTATCTTGAGAGAGGGAAAAAACCCTCAAACTCCTTAATTTATAATTTAAGAAGTTTTGTTAGATCAAAAGAGAAGAAAGAATGAACAGAAGCAAAGAGCGTAAAAGGCTTTAATATTTGAGTGATCGCACCACATTTGGAATGGCCTTTCTCCCTGCTGCTGCACAGCACAAGCAGAAGAAAGAAACCAGAGAGTGATTTGCTCAAGGTTGCTCAATGTGAGTCAGAAAAGATTGGGCATTTGAATGCAAGGCAGAGCTGACATCTTTCTCCCCTAAAAAGGTGTTTTTGTATGTGATTGGTTTCAATCCCAAAAAGTAAACACAATCACATTTCATACATTTCAAGCAGCAAACAAGACATACCTGCTTTTTTTGAGGGACAGCGTATTGGGAGGTTGCAGAAGAAAAAAAAAATTGCTCCACAACAAAAATATTAATATACATCTCAATGGGAGGGTGGTGGAGATTGGTTGGGCCTTCTTGATAGGAAGATAATAAGTGGAGATGGGAATGGGCAGAGATAGTGAGGGAGAAGGAAACAGGGAGGCAATGTGTGCCATGCTTGGGGGGCAACTTTCTAAACTCCTTTCCATTTCCCATCCCTGTGAGGCCTCCAATTCCTGCTCACCCTCCTCAGCTGCCACAAGCTAATCCTACCTCCACTGCACACCTCTACTCCAGGTGCAGGACAATATAACCTCATCGTTAAAAGCTCAATATATAGAGTTAAGAAGCACCACATTAAAATCTACAGGTATTTTCTATCAGCTTAGGGGCTTTGGGCAAGTTAAATTAGCTCTCTTATTTGATAAAAATGGACATGATAATAGTGCCTGCTTCAGAGGTTGCTACAGAATTAAATGAGAGAATCCATGCACTTAATATCCTGACTGACAATGATGAATAAATGGTAGAAAATGTTATCATTTTCATGACACATATTACATGTATTGTTATCATTTGCTTTTCTTCACCTAAATATCGTTAGCTTCTAGAACAGATGGTAAGTAAAATATGAGGTTACATTGAATCCTATTCAATAGGCTTTGCTACTGAATTCTAGTACTTTTTCATTAAAGAATTCAGAGATAATCCTGAAACATATGTGGTTGTGGGGCAAATCTACTCTGCTCTGTCCAAAAATGATATTGCATTCTTTAATAAACATTCTTCTATTGCCCCACTCAGAGCTAAAGTATTATATCCCCTATATGACAGCTTGGAAAATAAATAAATGGTAGGAACGGGAAAATCTCTCTGACTTCTCTTATGCCTTCCACCCTGAAGAGCCTGTAACAAGAGTCCTACTCTACTCTTTAAAAAAAAAAAAATGTTACAGAGGAATGACAAGACGAAACTGAACCAAGAGACCTTAAGTTCACCTATGTTTAGTACCATCAGATTGTACCTTTTGTCCTCCAATCATACCTCTGCATGGCAATGCATAAAGTTTTCTCTGGGTCTTCTAAGTCTTCATTTGTGAAGGCTCCCATGATACATACAACTTACGTTAAATATGTTTTCACGCTCTTCTATTATTAATCTCTTCTCTCATTGTAGGTTGTCAGTCACGAAGCTTGTAACAGGGTAAAGAAAGAAATCCTTTGTCTTCAACATCCCTGTTGTCTTCCCTGGGACATTGCTTTTTACTGGAGGGCCTCATTCCTGAAGTCACTGGCTTCTCAGTTTTTGTATATGCTAAACTTAACTATTATGAAGACCTTATAGAGATTTCCACATGGTTTAGTTCACTACTTATGGTGGTAACCTTTTTCAGTAATGGGAATGGTTTGTAAACTCTCTTTGGCAGGAGAGAAATTTATTTGCCAATGGAATTCCCATTGGATGGCACCATGAAACACTACAAGAGACCATTTATTTTCCCTACAGAGAGGTAATTTGGAGAATTATTATTTATATTCATATGAGTTATCTATTTCCTTCTGGAGAAAGGTAGAGCTATGCTTTCTGAATCCTCAAGCAAGTGAGTTGAACCTACACTATCTGAGGTTTTAAGGCTCAACAGGAGACTGAGGGAAACATTCAGAGGAAGACTGAATACAAGCAGACCTAACATCTTAATAAGGGTGTCTGAAGACCCAGATGACAATTGTAGCACCTGAACCCAACTAACAACATTTGAACAAATTATGAGAAACATGGGGTTGAATCGGGTGGTAATGATGAAAAAAAAAAAAAAAGTAGGGTTAGAATGACAAGAATTAAAGTCAGCATGAGTAAGAAAGAAGCTAAATAGAGCGAAGGATGGCAGATAAGACTGACTGGTGATCGTGATACTGAAGGACTAAGAAATAGGAGACCTGAAAAGCTGGGTAAATGTGAGAGTTGCTATCATGAGTTGTTCTCGGATCCCCAAACACAGAGATTATATTTTTCTTACTTTGGAAGAACCCATTATTCTGTGTGCCTCTTGTTCACTTGGGGACACTTAATTCTTATGAGATGACCTTCTTCCAAAGCTCACACATTTCTCGCTTCCTGTTATCCATTTCCATTTAACCCTATGCACATTAATTCAGAGAAGAGCTGAAGGCAGCTAGGAATGCAGGAGAACTCATTGACCTACCTCAGGATGGCAGAATGGAGGTGGGGGGGAAACTCCAAGGTGTAAGCTAGAACTTGTAGGCTCCCCCAAGAAGTTTTTGCATGAAAGTAAAAGACTTTTGTTAAAAAAAAATGTTAATGTGGTGCTGAGAATTGAACACAGTACCTCATGTGTGCTAGGCAAGTGCTCTACCATTGAGTCACAACCCCAGCTCCAAGAAGAATATTTTTGAAGGCTTCTTAGGCTTGAAAGTTTATCATGAGAGAGGAGGTGAACATGCTTTTGGAGGGTGATGTGAGAAGTGCTATCTTCGTAGGAAACCACATGCCAGGAAAAAAGGAAGGAGAAAAACAAATTTTTCAGGGCATATGAACACACATCCATTATTCTACACACATGAGCTCATGAATTCTCTGAATCGATCCAGTGCACCTCCTTCTTACACAAGATAGTACCAGGAGACTGACATTGTTGTCTTCATTTCACAGAAGAGAAAACTTGGTTATAGGAGGCTACGTAAACCTAAGTCTTTGTGAATTTCTAACTGTGCTCTTCTCATTTAGTCTTCCTCTCTCTGGACCTTCATAACGTCTTGAGCATTTGGTAGCACATTTTTTTTTTTAATGCCAGTGGTAGAGATTATTAGGGTAAAACAAACTGAACAGGCCAAGAGAAAGGAACAAATGCATACATAAGGGAAACTGATGGGAAGGTACACACTGTGTTCTGAGAGTTCCAGATACATCTAACCATGTTTTTATTTCTAAATATATTCTGGTGAAAAATTAATACCAGATAAATTGATATCACAGAAAATTTTCTTCCCAAGTGGGCTCTAGAAAGTGGTGTAGGGTATTGGAGGCCATTTAAAATAAATAATCCACAATAAACTCAATTTTTTTCTGCTTCTGGTTATGGAAAATGTCAAATAACAGTGCAAAGACACTGTAACTTCTTCTAAATGTACATATAATAAATACTCACTATGGAAGGAAGGACATAGTTATATCACTGAATGAAATTTGTTCTGGTTATAGTGGCACAATGTTTCTTTTTATTTTCAAATCTAAGATGTCATTGATAAGAAAATGCAACACCATTTTATGTACTACACAAAAAAGAAAATTAAAACTGCTGCCAATTACAACTAGAATGTGCCATTAATTGTAAGACAAATACTGATTTCAGAGATGTTAAAATTAAAAAAAAAAACATACATTCCAGAATCAGCCAATGACTGCATTTTCTTTCCGTATAATTTTTATGAATAAATTGTAGTCATACCCCAATATAGACTATTTTGAATACTGAATTTTTACTTGATATTTTGCCTCCATATTTTCTATTAGGATTGCAAATTTTTCTTAATCACAGTTTTTGGAACATACATAATACTCCACGATGTGGATATGTAAATAAGCCTGAATTATCAGGTAGTAAGATGATTTCCTGAATGTTCCATTTTTTTTAAGTTCTTCCATAGTAAAGATTTTGAATACAAATTTTTGTTTTTCCTTAAAAGAGACCCTCCCAAACTAAATAAGTATATCGATGGGCATAAATGATTTTAAGACAAGAACTTTACACATCACAGTTTCCTGAGCTCCTTCTCTAGGCCAACAGACAAACTACTGCATGATAATCCCAGTCCATCTTCCTCTTTGTCACAATCTCACCTCCACTTGACAACATTCTGCCAGTGCCAAGGCCCTTTCCATGCATTTTCTGCACACACAGGCATGGCCACACTTGGCCGACCAACTAAGGCCCATAGACCTAAAGAGTGTCTGGTCTACCCACTTGCCTTGCTTGCTCTGTTAAAATCAGCCTTTTACAAGAATCTAACCACAGTGGACCTGACCACAATAGGAAGCCAGATTGGTTATATTTATGTTCATCATAGGATAGTTGGCTTGAAAATATGGGCACTAACAGCAGCTCCCAAAATGACTTACCACATTCAGCCTAGTCTTTCCATTCCAGTCAACCAGTCCACTGAAAATGCTGAGTTATCTAGAAAGGGGAAAATATAAGAACAGGATAAGTAGAACGCAAAACTAGAAAGTAAGGTGTATAATGCACAGAATTCAGAAAAGCAGAGTTTGTTCGGCATAATTAACAGGATCTCACTTCCTAATTCAGGAAAGAAACAAAAATGTAATAAGAGAAAATAATGTTCTGATAAAGGGACTCAAAACACCACCTACAGAATTCAGACCCACATTAAGTGGAGCCTCCAGAAATTACCTAGCAAAATGAAGCAAGAATCATTGTAGAGACATTTAATCTCTTACTTCAATTTTCTGAATGCAAAGAGCCACAGCAGCACTCTAGCTCGTTAGCTCAGGGAGGGGTCTGGCAAATGAATACAGTCTAATTATAAAATGCCCCTGAGACAGCAAGTGCAACATGCGTTCACTCTTCCCTGATTTTACTTTTGCAAAGGTATAACCCACATGTTAATAAGCAACTTTATTTCACGCTGGTATGGCAGTGATGAGTCTAATCCTAAATCTTTAATCATATATGTGGGTATAAATGCTTTCCTTAACATGAAAGAATACTGAAAATATTCTGAGGCAATATGGCTTAAGCATTTTAAAATTATAATAAAGAAGCCTTCTCTTTGACAATGCTTATTATGCTTATTATCTTTTCAAAGAAATACACAATTAGTCATGATTGATATACTTGCTATTTTTCTTCATGAAAGGATTAAGACTACAAGAAATTTCAGCCAAAATTCTATGATTCCTCCAAGATTCTAGAATTGCAAACTTTAAAATTATTTCAACTGTTATGACTTGAAACCATGATAATTTTATTTCAATATCCAAAATTGTCAGAAATTAAGATACAAATTCACATTCATAAAGGTCAAAGTGAAAAATCGTATTAATGTGTGATTCAATTGTCGGTATAAAAATATCTATATAAATATACACAACCATAACATTATATTTCTGTTTTCAGTTATCAATACTCAGTCATACTTCATGTAATATTTCAAAAGGAGGCAGTTTATGCTTTTATTCATTATAAGACGTGAAATGGTAGTCTTAAAAATCAGTCTTCATTAAGATCATGTAAGAAGACAAATTGACGTCAGAACTTAGAATTAGAAAGTAAAAAAGGATTCTTGAATTTGAAATGATACTATTTTAGTGATAATCCATCTAGATTGAAAACCCCTGTGTAACAAATCTAAATATGTTGATCATCAATCAATGTGTTTTATGATGAGTCCAGATGTTGCGAAATTCATCATCAAATTTCCCATCTAGAGATCAGTAGAACAGAGAAAGGCGACCAAGAGAAGGAAGGAGGGGAAGAGAAGGGAGGTACTGTGAATATAAACTGATCAAATTATATTGCTAGATCATGTACATTACAAATATGTAACAAAGAATCCCACTACTATGTATAATTATAATGTAACAAACAAAGTTTTTCTTTCTAGGCCCCTGCTCCCATTCACATATGTTCATCAAGCAAATTTAAATACATAATTATAAAATTATTCATTCCAAACAGTAATCATTTTCTAATACTCTTGTTTAAGTTTCTTTCAAACTTTGGCTGAATTATGTGTTTTTGGCAATGATCCTAAACTATCCTGCATATGACTCAATTATAGTATCATATAATTATAGTATCATATAATATTATGGCTGACAGTTTATTCTATTGTCTCCCCATCACAACACAGTATGAAGAAGTCACTACATCTCATCATGGATGAGTAAAAAATGGGCTAACAGGCATGTTGGTAACTTCTTACCCTTGACTCTAAAAGAACACTAGTAATTCTTCTTTTTGTGTTACCCTCCCATTTCACTCTGTATCACTACATCCTTTTATTTGAATGCAATTCTTTTATCACCAGATCAATTTGTGAATTTTTTGAGGTAGAATTGGGGCAACTGATAGAGAAAATAGAACTAGAAAGTTAGAAGTACAGGAGACAGGTCTAAGAAGGACAAAGCAAGGGAAATGATGCTCACAAGAAAAAGTGAGAAGAGGTGGTAAACCCCAAAGATACAGAATGTAACACAGGATGGTATAGGGAGTCTGTGGTTCAGAAGCAGCAAGTTAGAAAGAGGTGCCCATGAAAGAGAGAGTAGGAGAGGAAGGGACTACTTCTGCATTATTAAGAGAGAAACAATGTGGACAGGAAGGTGATGTTTAAAAGGTAGGTACAAGAGAATTCTATAAAGTTCTAATAGTAACCATGTCCTCCAATTCTCTTCAATGGTTTCAGAGAAATTAATGAGGAATAAAGTCTCTTTGAGCATTACTTGACTTTTTAAACAATAATACACCCTGGACTAAATTGATGGGTCTTTATATTTAATGGTAGTGCAGTCACTTATGCATCCTCATTGTCCTTCTGTGTCTGGTACAAATTGTATTCCTGGTGAAAGTTAATTGAATAAAAAGAACATCTGAATAAGTAACATTTTGTACAGTTACCTTCTTCCAGTAGCAAAAGATATTAAAAGATGAGAACTTAACATATATGTAATAGCTCTGACACCCTATCATGCATGCACAGTGACCTTGTTCATTTTTCTTTAATCAAGGATAAAAACTGTCCAAAAATATAATTGACAGAACACAAATGTATGTCTTCTACTAGAGTGAAAGCAGAAAAGAGAATGAAATAGTAAGATTCAAGTTAGATAATATGAAAGTTTCCTTAATTTTATAAAAATTAAGTTGGAGGCAAATTGTCAAGTATAGAGAATTTTAAAAGATTGTACTCTGAATACAATTGGAAGTTGGTGAGTGATAGAAAGATCAGCTGAAAAGCCATTAGTAGAGGGAAACACAGGTTCTATAGGAAACAGAAGCAAGAGGGTTCCTTCTGGTTTGGTGCCAATCGTCAGGAGAGTCTTCCTTGAACTTGCACTTCAAGGAGGAGCAGTACTTTTGACAAGCAGACAGGAAGGTATGCTTGGCAGGGAAAATTGCCTGCAGGACTATGGGGGCCAATAGCCTGGTATCTTTGAAAAACTTAGAAGCTTTTTTGTTTGTTTTTATTTTTGTTTAGTTGTCAATGGATCTTCATTTTATTTATTTATATGCTGTGCTGAGACTTGAACTCAGTGACTCACACATGCTAGAAAAGCACTCTACCATTGAGAAACAACCCCAATCTTAAGAAAGTTTTTTTTTTTTTTTGTTGTTGTTGTTGTTGTTGTTCTAATTAGTTACACATGAGAGCAGAATGTATCACACTGTACACAAACGGGCCACAACTTTTCATTTCTCTGGTTTCACATGATGTAGAGTCGCACCATTGTGCAGTAATACATATATTTATGGTAATAATATCCTTCTCATTCCACCATCTTTCCTGCCCTAATGCCCCCTCCCCTTCTCTTTGCCCAATTCAAATTTCTCCATTCTTCCTGTCCCCCTTCCCATTATAGATTAGCATCTACTTATCAGAGAGGAATTCGGCTTTGGGGTTTTTGGAATTGGCTTACTTTGCTTAGCATGATATTCTCCAAATCCATCCATTTACCTGCAAATGCCATAATTTTATTCTCTTTTGATGATGACTAATATTCCATTGTGTATATGCCACAGTTTCTTTATCCATTCATCTATTTAAGGGCACTTATTTTGGTGGTTTAACTATGCAAATTGAGAGGCTATAAACATTGATGTGGCTACATCACTATGATATGCTGATTTTATGTCTTTGGGGTATATAATGAGAAGTGGCATATCTGGGCTAAATGGTGTTTCAACTCCAAGTTTTCTAGATTGGTTGCATCAATTTGCAGTCCCACCAGCAATGTACAAGTGTACCTTTTCCCCACAACCTCACCAACACTTGTTATTGCTTGTATTCTTGATAACTACCATTCTAACTGGAGTGAGATGAAATCCTAGAGTAATTTTAATTCACATTTTTCTAATTACTAGAGATGTTGAACACTTTTTCATGTTTGTTGATTGATTGTGTATCCTCTTCTGAGAAATGTCTGTTCAGTTTCTTAGCCCATTTATTATTTGGGTTCCTATGAAGGTTGTATGTTTAGAAAATATGGTGCTTGCAATAGGGGATGTGGAGTGGAGGGACAAGAAGAGTGGAAGATAAGGCTGGACTTGAGGTCAGGTTCAGATTAGAAACACCATGAATAAATGATTGCTATTACTTATTTTAAAGATTACACTTTCTGACAATGAGAGAGGGATAACACACAAACACATATATTCATTAATATAACTGAATGTTTTATGGCAGAGATGAACCTGAATCAGTAAAACTAGAGGACATTTACTCCGTGTGGATGTTCATGCAATTGTCCATGGGAAAGGTGTCCAACACTCTAGGGAAGAGTCAGGTTTTGAGAGAGATATTTGGAGAATGACAGGATGAGGGAATCGATTAGGGATGGAGAGTGAGGGTAATGAGTGATGAAGGAAGGGGCAGAGGTCTGTGGTTTGAAGACTGAGTGGGTGGTAGTGGCTTCATTAAGTAAGATAGGATATATAAGAAGTGCTGTTCTAGAAAGATAGATAATACATTAAGTCCTGGACATGCTGTGTTTGAAGTATTTGTAAGACATGTAAAGCTTTTAGTCATAAATAATGTTCCATAGATCAAAAAGACACTGTGAAATTATCCATAGATAAGCTATGGACAAAAGACAAAGAAAGAAAATCAAAGTGAGAATCCTGTTTGGGGAAGGAGGATAGAACAGCATTTAAGATAAAAAGAGAATATTTGATATGACAATGAAAAGAAAAATAGGATGCTGTTGAGATCTAGGAATCTGAATTTAAGAGAAAATAAGTTGAAGTAAAATTAAGGGTTTTTTTTTTTTTTGCCCCATGAAATTACGGTATAAAAGAGAATTTAGAATTTGGACTTAGAAGACTTCAGTTCCTCCATCTGAAAAATATCTAGGGATACTGATAAGCCCAATGCTAAGGACTATGTGAGAATATTAAATGACATTTTCAGAGGAAACAAAGTGAAAGTGCTTCTGAATTAT